CATCCCTGGTTTTAGATTCTCTCGCGGTAGTTTTGCGATACCACAACACTTGCCCACTTGCTATAAATTTACTGCAACTTGACGGCACACACAAACGTAAATAATACAGACATTTCTTAATGACACTGCAGTAAAGTTAGCTTTATATTCGGTTTTTCGGCTGAAATATCTTTCAACAAAAGCAAGCAACACCCCTTGGTTTTGTAGATTTCTTTTTGGGCAAATTTCAAATAATATTTCAATGTTTGTGTGTGCATTTCACTTTCAATAGCCCAACTGTCTTGTTTAAAGTAATTAATAAATAAGTTTTAAAACACAGGGCTCTCAAGTCTCACGCATTGACCCTGAGACCCTGCATTTTAACCAGTTCACACACACACACATGCCACAGCTTGTGTTTCTCACGCTGAGAAGGGATAACACCCACCAAGGTGTCCTGTCACATAGAATGATGATGCGCAGGTGTACGGAGTGGAGTTTTCGGCCGAATTCATAGCTGTTCCAAGTTATACGGAGTTAATAGCCACCTAACAGCCAATCAGAAAATAGCATTTGTTTCCAAAATGATCCTGCTGCAAGCAGGTTATTACATGGATGAGCACACATACGAAGTGCAGACAAGGTGGAAGTGGAAGAGCAAGATCCAATGAATGCAGTAGGCAGGGCACGCATTGAACGTGAGACGCGATGCGCCCCTAACAGACATAATCTCTTGAAAGCCCTGAAAACACATATATGAAAGTTACACAGTGTGCATTGTCCCCTAAAGTGTAATGCTTAAAGCAAACTTTACCTGACATGTCTGTATCGTTTAGGTTTATACTTATCAGTCCATTAATTCTATCCTTTGTACTTTAAATGGACACAGTACAATTATAAATAACAGAAAAGTGTTGCATGGAATGCAAAACTATTGTGAGAAAACGCAAAATTGTTCAAAAAAAATATTTCCCACTCAGACCTCTTAGGGGCTCCTGATATGTAGAAAAAAAAATCACTAATACATCACTAACCACAAATATGTATTTTTATGTGTTGTGTAGAATCATATCCACAAACATAAGAAGTGATTTATACACGTTGAAAGGGTTTTGCATATTTGTGGAACGCGTTACATAAATATGAAGTGCAGCCATGATATCGTTATTGGGATACGAAACGACTTATATCGAGATATAAGGTTTTAATCATATCGCACAGCCTAAGTGCGTGTATTCCTTTATGCGTAATGTAATGATCGCCCTAGGATGACGTCAGAGGGCGTCGCCCTCTTTCTTTTTCCTTTTTTTTCCCCCCGATACACCTTTCAGCGCGTATGGATGTATTTTGCCACCGCCAAGTACTATTTTTGTGATATTCGGTTGGTTACTGACTGACAATGTAAAACCTGTGAATCATGCGTGAGTCTATTGTATCCTGCAGTGTAATAAACGAGGGACAGCACCATTTCTTCGCATTTTGCTGTAAGCTGGGTGTGAAAAAAAGAGTATGTCCTTGCAAAACACCTATCCTACTTCCACCCAGTAACAGGGTTTCCACCAGATCTGTTACATTACCTCTTTGAGGGAGTTGTGCCTTATGAGTTGTCTGTTTGCTTGAAGGAGCTCATTAGAAAGGGATACTTCACACTTGAAATTCTTAATAAGTGTATCCTTCCCTTACGAGTACTCAGATAAGGTGAACCGACCAAAGGTCATTGCTCAGTCTAGCTTTGCAAAGAAAACCATAGGTGGAAACGGACACGAAAACTGGGCATTGCTTCGTCTTTTTCCGTTAATGAATGCTAGTTATATGCCAGAGCAGGAGCCGTCGTGGGAGATTTTAATGGACCTGAAAGAGATAGTTGAGCTGGTTGTTTCATGAGAGTTCTCATCAGCATCTCTAGCCTGGCTACAGAGAAAAATTCTTGATCACAGGCAGTTAATTAAAGAAACATTCCCAGACTTCAAATTCAAACCAAAGCATCACTATATTGAGCACTATGCTTACTTGATTCAGGGCTTTGGCCCATTGATCGAACTATGGACCATGCAGTTTGAGGCCAAACACAGCTACTTCAAAAGGGTTGTGATGTGCACAATTTTAAAAACAAACATTCTCCTCACCTTGGCAACTAAACACCAGCTCATGATGGCCCATATCCTGAACGGCCCAAGTCTCTTCCCTCCTGTTCTATCTGTGCAAAAGATAATCAATCAAAACACATCACAATATGCAGACTAGATGTGCAACAAAGGACTGCAGTGCTGCAGAAATATCCTCACATCAGATGTGCATCTGAATGGCATTCACTATAGTGAGGGTATGATTTTATCTTCTGGAGAACTCAGTGGGCTGCCCGAGTTTTTCAGAATTCTTAGAATTGTTATGTGCCATAAGTGTTTGGATATGTCTACAGGACACCTCAGTCTTCTGCCCCAAGCTCCACTCGCTGCCTCCCAGTTTCCGGCCACGCCCCTTCCG